TATTTACATATTTTAAGTAATGTAAAGTGAAAAAATGATATAAAGACCGGCAAAAAAATAAATACTTTAAAAATTCATATTAAAATATTTTTATAAAAATATTGTAAAGTAGTAATTACTGCTATCGACCTTAATTGTTTATAAATACTCGGTTTTTTTTTTTTGGCTTTGTATTAAATTTACTTTAAAATTCAGTTTGTTACGAAGAGCTGTAAGTTCCAATAATGAGAGAGTACAGCTTGACTCCTTGACTACTTTGTAGAATATATGTCAAATTTGCAAAGTAAAATTAGATAAGTAAAAGTAGATAATGAAAAAAATTAAAGAATGGTTCAAACAGAAGTCCCATGGATTGAACTTCTTGTTGTTGATCCTTTTTTTTATATAATCTACTTACACTATAAATATTTCTTATGTACAATTATTTGTAAAAAATATAATGGAATTTTGAACTGCCGCACATTTAAGCAATCTGATAATATTAAGGTCATAATGGTCATATGAAGAATTGTTTGTAATGTTTAAGGTAAAAAAAATGTTTTTTTTTAAATTTTAAAGTAATTTCTCAGCAGTTAAATCAAGCGCTACTTGATCCTTTTACTTTAAATGTAGAACCTTCAACTTGGTACACAGAAGCAAATCGGAAATATCTGGATTAATATTTGTCCTAATGGAACACTGAACTATAGGACGACATGGATCCAGACTCGGCCTGCTCTGTAGTATCATCTAGCTCGGCGCTCGAAGAAAAGACACCATAGCACCTGTTGTGTCTATGTCAAGGTTTGTTTAGAACTAGCTTTTAACTATTATGCGCCCGTTCTTTAACAGGCTCGGTGATATTTCCACCATTAGTATTGGCCATATACTTGCTTTTATTTATGCAACTGGCTGGTTCTATTATGATTATTTTTTTAACCACAATTGTGAGTAATATGGAATCAAGACGGCTTAGCACCATTAGTATTGGCCATATACTTGCTTTTATTTATGCAACTGGCTGGTTCTATTATGATTATTTTTTTAACCACAATTGTGAGTAATATGGAATCAAGACGGCTTAGCTAATTGAGAAGGTTTCGATCTTCCTTCTGAAGTGGAAGGAAGATCTACTTTATGTTTAAGGTGCACTTTAACCTAATGTTGCATCGAAAACGTTCATTGAATCTCTTGTAAGATAGAGAAAGTTTGTTGTAAAAGTTGTAAAAATTAAATCATTTACTTAGAATTTAATGTTAGTATATAATATAAATGTAATTATTTTAATTATTATAAACAAAAAACAAAAAAAATCAAAAATTATATATAAGATCACTTGCCATTATTTTATATAAAAATCAACTCATCTATATAAGTAATTAAGCTTGTATTATATTGTAATTGAAATATGAATATTTTTTTATTTAATTAATAAAAGTTATAAAAAATTATATTCAACGACAGTAAATTATATCACTAATTTCCATATTGACGTAAAAACTTGTATTTTAATAATTCAAGTATAAACTCGTATTTCAAAAATTAAAAGAAAGTGGCTATCGTTTTTTAAATACATTTTATAATTTATTAATTATTAAATAAAAATGTACGAAGAACTTTATTATAATTTTATGAAATAAAAACATGTAAAAAATAATTTTAACTGGTTAACTTAACACAAAAAAATTGTGTTTTTTAAATATATTTTTATTTTGACTTCCATATAATCGTTTCAGATGTATATATATCATTTATTCTTCTTTATCTTTGCATTCATCACCTAGAAGAATTCTTCTTACAGCTGGCAACCGAAATACAACGACAGAGAGTATTGCTCCAGTACATGCACCTATCCAGTAAACAATAATGTGTTCCAGATTCGTGTGTCCTCTGCAGCCCCATTTAAGTGCAGTCGCCAATACAGGATTGAAATAGCCACCGGAATAGTTAAACGCTGAAACCAACATGTAATTAAACGCGTAAACTGTTTTTGTAAGACCATTTATTCTAGTGGAAACCAGTAGTGAATGTACTTGGGTTATAGCATGCATTAAAAACGATGTAATATATAAATGAGTTTTGGAAGAAGATAAATGATTTTTAAGATTTAGTTATTGTTGTTATTGTAACCCGCAAAAATCTGCCAGTGTATTCTGTTTTGGGAGTACTGAAGGGTACTTGTTCGTCGAACTCAACGAGTAGTACCGGGACGCGGACCCAGCTGTTTTTGAAACCATATTTTAGTCCATACCATTATTGTGCCTCTTATTAACTAAACTCTATTGAATATAATTTATCTAACAGTTCAACATACAAGAAAAATTTTTAATGATTAGAACTGTAAAGGTTTGTATAAATTGTTTATAAATAAATACACAGAGAATGTATGGTTCAATGAACTCAGTAATTTTGGTCGTTTAAGGAAACTATCTATTTAAAGAACGTGCTTAGGTAAACATTGAATATGTGGTCTGGTACCATTATACTATTAAGAAACATGCAATTTTTATATACATTTATTCATGATGGACGGAATAGTACAAGAATCTATAAATAACTTCGCCTATTACTTTTATCAGTTGTTTTTTTAGTTTTTTTCTTAAATTTGCTGGATATATATACCAATGAGCATCGTTTTGCACTATATCCCGGACTCAGAAAAAGTCAAATAATAAAGCTTATATTGCCACATATTTAACTATTCTGCACATGTTGTCTAATGCCATTTAAGTTGAAATAAACTACATACTTTAAGAAGTATATACATGATTCACTAACATTTGATAAATATCTCATACTGTTCTCTAAAAGCAAACATAGAGATTTTGGAGACCTTATACGTTAGAACATAGTATAGGAAATTCATGTGTCTCAATGAACTTATAATAACCTTCTATGTAAGAACCTAATGTGGAAAATGTGATTGCTTCAATGAACTTCATTATGGTAATTGTTTCTTGAAGTATAACAAAACTACTGAACTATTAAATTTTCGAAGCATCTCGTTTAAGTGGTCCAATATTTAATTAGATATTTCAAGAAAATAACTATTTATTTTCTTGAATGGATATTCATTATCTGGCCAATTTTATTATAGTTCAAGAACGGTGTCCACCCAAAACAGGATAAATTGTTTCAAAATAATTTGTTTTAGAAAAATTATCCATTCTAGAGGATATATCTCTTATATCTCAATATCTTTTCCGTTAGAAGAGGCAACTCTGCGGTCAAGGGCTATCCATTAGTTATCCATTTGACTGTATTTGAAATTTGACTTTTAACTTTGATAGTGATTCTATGGTGTACACAAAAGTGTAGAATTATAATTAACAGTGTTATACTCTTTCGATTGGGAGTTGGAAACGTGAAATGAACATGTATTGTTTTCAGATGAAATCGTTATCAGTGATGAAGCTCACTTAGATGAACACATAGGTGAAAGAAATAGAGGATAATATAAGAGAGGATTATTCAAAAAACCCATAGAAAGTTATAGTTTGAAGTCATTTAAGTCATAAGATATTATTATTCAGATTCGAAATCTCAAGCGATATTTTTTTAATAAGTATTGTAAGTAAGAGTAAGAGTATTGTAAGAAAGTATGATTTGTATAATATCACAGTCAAGGGATATACCGAAAATATATAATATGTATAATATATATTATATTATATATATTTATTTATACTAGTTAGACTTACTTGTTAGATTGTGTGACACATACAGTTATAATTTTTTTTACCCATAATTATAAATTTTCTTGGTGTAATGGATTTGTATAAATGTAGCATAGAATATGTTATATTAGATAAAATTTAAATTCGTACCTGCAACGACCAAACTGGTACCAATAAATGAATCAATTATACTACCGAATTTTGGTTCTCTTTCACTTATTGTTTTCGATGCTAGACGACAGAGTAGTGTAGCTATTCCTTCTATGACTGCGCCAACATATGGACTAACCTTACAAAAGTAAAAAAAAAATTATTAGACTTTATTTATGTATAAATTTAAATATATAGATAGAATATAGAAATAGTTTAATGATTTCTAATAAATATTTACTCTTAATAAAGATAATAGTAGTTACTGTGATTAAATTTAAATGCTTGTATATACAATATATAGGGGTGTTAGGGGGAGTTTGAACAGAGTGTAATCCAAACATAGACTTATTAGCTCCTAACGATACCAGAACATTGTAAACCTCCATGTAGATTTCGTATAGGCATTTTTGCGAATGTAAGGTGTAATGGAAGTTTTATTCGTGGGAAAGAGCCAAGTATACCTAAAGAGTGTTTTTAGACCTAAATTTAGTGGGATTTAAAAATAGATACTGTCTACCGTGGTTGTAGTACATACGCGTTTTATCAATTGGTTGGTTATATAATTTATAAACTTATATAATATTTCGTAATCATATTTGGAATGATTATGTAAAACAATTCTACGAAGTTTTTAGGTAATTATTCAATTTTTAATCAAAAAGACGATGTAGTATTATATTCGAATACCCAATTTAATTCACAAGAATAAACTGAAGTCATAGTATAGACATAAACAGTTGACCGAACTAATTTGGCTATTTCTAACTTAAATTATAGCTCTTTCCATCATGACAGTACTTATTAGTTTATTTGTTCCATTACACTTTCATTACAGGTACAGGTTTCTGGTTTACTTTTTTAATAATTTATTATAACGTTTATTCTCTATCCATAGCCCTTTTCTAATTTTTACCTTACATCCTTATTATAGGAACCCTTATTAAATCCAATACATCCTTATAGGATTTCTTAGAAGAGGAAATCCTGAAACTGTAAAAAAATTTTGGCGTTATATAAGAAGAAACTTGAAAGACAAAGCTCTATTTATCTTTCAAGACGAATATATCACTAAATAAAAGATTACTATTAAT